AAAGTCTTCAAGTTTGAAATAGAAAGATCTTCAAATCTAAAATTGAGAAACTTTCAATTTTGCAATAGAAAGATCTTCCAATGCAAGAAAGTCTTCAAGTTTGAAATAGAAAGATCTTCAAATCTAAAATTGAGAAACTTTCAATTTTGCTATAGAAAGATCTTGAAATCTAAAATTGAGAGACTTTCAATTTTGCAATAGAAAAACCTTCAAATCTAAAATAGAGAAACCATCAAAGAAACAGCAAAAACTTCAAATGCAAGATATCAAAGCCTTCAAATTTCAAACAGAAGAACCTCCAAATCTAAACTGAAAAAACCTACAAACATGAAACAGAAGAATCTCCAAATTCCCACCAGAGAAACCCTCTCATATAAAACATCAAAACCAAGTTCAAACTACCAACACCCTGTAATCCCAAATAAAATAAAAATCCCCAATTTAATTAAGCTTCCCCGAAACTAGGCTCCCTTCCAAACGCGTATAAACGAACGTAAAAAATCCGCGGTCTAATTGTAACGAGAATAATGCATCGCGCAGACAGCGATGCGTCTCGTCGACAATACAAAGGTGTTAACCGTGGGACAGGGTCTGTGTAAATGGCTCGGCCTACATAATTCCGGGGACGATGGCTGGTAATCTCTCGCGACAAGAGAGACACCGGAATCGACGGTAGAAAATAGAAGGCGGGTTGGGTCTGGCCGTATGGCGAACAAAAGGGGATGCCACGGCGAACGAGACGCGGCGCGGCGGAGGGGGAGGGGGTTGGAACAAAACGGGGGAATGCCGATGGAAAAAGTAAAACGCTGGATGAAACGACAGCCGCGACGGTATACGACCGGGGAAACAGACTTCGTGCACACTCTCCGTGAAAAAAAGTGACTCGGGAATGTGCAACAAACTATGTTCATTCGGGCCCCTGTTTCGCAGCAGGTCGACTTCAACCCTCGAACAATTGCAGCGGAATTTTTCAATGTATATATGCATATTTTGCACAGGAACCGTCTTACCTTCCATAAACAGGAAGAGAGCTTGGAAAATGTAAATATTTGACGAATTAAAAGGGGTAGTGTAAATGAATTTGCACAATTTCAATTGTATCAGAGTAAGTTAATATTTGATTTTCTATGGGATAATTTAAAAGTGAATCACTGTTGAGTATGCTAAGAGATGTAGGTATGTATATAAGATTGCAGTGAGTAGTATTAGCATGCAAGGGTCAGACATCGAATCTTCTTACTGAAGGATTACTTGATTATAGTTGAATTAAAATTATTGTGCTTGAATATTTATGAAATATCAAGTCAATGACTTCCTGAACACGGAAGCTTCGACTTTCCGAAGCTCGAGCTGTTTTTGTTAAGAATTATGTTACGCTCTTGATTAACGATCGCGAAAACACGATGTCACCTTTCCCAGCGATATATTCTCGCGAAGCGACACGAGGCGGCTTCGCAATACCCGCGAGCACTCGTACAACCGATCGCGTGTCTGGCTTGTAGCGCAATCTGGCTCATTGTCCTGCGACGAGAGGGTTGCAAAGGGTTGGCAGTGCTGGTGTCTCGTGAACCTAGGCCGAATCTGTGCCGTTACGGCACTATCCAGCGTAAATAGGGAACACGGGTGCGTGTACATACGAAACCCCGATGTTACGTGCCGATCTCCGCGTTCCGGGAACCCGGGAATCATTCGGCGACATCGGCAGAGATTGAAATTGTCTCGGGCTAACACGATTAGCCGGGCTACGAGCGTGGATATCGCGCTGATGGCTCAGCTGCTCGCGGTGTCCTGTGTTTAAGGCACGATCTGATCGACGACACAATAGGTCCGAATGTTGCCAAGCAGCGAGCGCTATTTTAGATCGTGTGTTTCAGCAGTGAGCACGGGATAAATGGTATTGCGAGTGATAACTTTTAATAGTTGAACAGACGATGGCTGTTATTTGAAGGGAAATTTCGTTAGGAAATTGTGATAGGTACTTCAAGCAAGAATTTTGCTAGTGGAAAGGGAGAAGTGTTATCTTAAGTGATAACTTTTACTAATGACAAAGTAGTAAATGGTGTATTAAAAGTTTAACTAGTGACAGGGCTAAGTACTGTTTCAAATGGTAACTTTTATTAGTAAGAAGTGTTATTTCAAGTAACTTCGATTACTAAGAAGGAATAAGTATTATTTCAAGTACTATCAAGTACTAAGTAACCAATATTATTCCAAGTACTGTCACTACTAGAAACTACTATTTCAAGCACTAACTTTCACTAGTAAAGATACAATAAATATTACTTAAAATGTTACCTTCCACCAGTAAAAAGAACTAACCATTACTTCAAACGGCGTTCATTACTAAAAGCAATAACCATTATTTCACCGACTAACTTTCGCCAGTAAAAAGGCGCTAAATATTCTTCGAAATACTTACTTCCACCAGTAAGAAAAACCAGTTTTCTGAAATGCCAATCTCGCTAAAAAAGCAACCCCCAACCCCCAGTGGCAGCACAACAGAGCGACACAACAAAGTCCCAGATCCAACTGTAAAGCATCTAAGAGCAGGATCATCGAGTCGGTCCACGGATTCGACTTGGACTGTTTACGGTCCTTTCGGCTCGTTAACGAACGAGACATCGTGCCTGGTAACGGGGCACCCCGGGACGCCTGCAGCGTCGCAAGATCGTACCTGGGACGGAAGGTCGTCGCTTTCGGTTACTTCGTGCCGTCGGAACTTTCTCGTTAACGAAGTTTGGAAATAGTGTCGTCGACGTCGTCGCCGCCGTAGACGTCTGCGACGCGTTTCCGCGTTGCAAGTATCGCAGTATCGAGAAAACTTTGCAGCCAAGCACCGCGGCTTTAGCCCTAGGTATCTTGTCGTTTGTGTCGCGAGAGACCGCCTAGGGAAATCGTGGAAATTAGGCTCAGCGGAAAGATCGATCTCTGGATCATGCCACTGTCGGAGACAAATCAACGGTCGTGGAACACGACGATAAACTTGTAAATGAGCCACGTTGCTCCCATTAACCCTTCGTACCTCGAATTTCTTTTGCATCTTTTCCTTGGTAATTCTGAATCATTATGATAGTCGATCTGAAATGAATTTGAAGAAATAATTAGTTAGAAGAGGATTTCTTTGGTGTTTGGTGTTCTCTGGAGTATTTGTTTGGACTTTTGTTTATTTAATAGGTGTTGGTTAGAAGAAATGGGAAATTAATAGTATTTATTAACCTTTTGCACCCTGAATTTTTTTTGCATTTTTTCCTCGATAACTTTATCATTACGATATTCGGTTTGAAATGCATTTGAAGAAATAGTTAGGTAGTTTGTAGAGAAAATAGGTAGAGAATAGGTAGTTTGTAGAGAGTAAACGATTTTTACTAATATTGAAAATAACATAATAGAATCTATCTAAAAAGTATCTCGGCAAAGAAACGCAAAGGGTTGAAACTTCGAAGCTTCTAAACGATTTCAATCTTTAATTCAACCCTTTAAATTCGTCAATTACTTAATAATGCAACATTGAAAAGTCCCGATCTCCAAGTACTCTTCTAAAATTGCCCCCGATATTTATCAATAAAAGAAAGCTAAATAATTATCATCAGCAACTATACCACACAGCTTTCAATTTGAAACCGATCAGACACCAATAACTGTTACCCGAGAGATCGCCGGAAAATCGGCGAAGCGGAGGGTAAAAGCTAATCTATCAATCTTCCCGAAAGCTGGGCCATCAACGCGAAAACCTGCGATTCCAGTCCCAAAAGTTTCCATCCGCGGTGATTCAACTTAAAATCACGATCGGAACTACACATCCGAGCCGAAACGTCGGTTAGATTGCTCGTAAAACCGGCTCGCATCGGAAACCCATGAAATCGGGAGCATCCAAGAGATCGCGGGCGTCTGTCTCTATACTCTATTTGTTGCTCGATTAACCTGGGAATCTCGGCCGGTCCCGATAGATAATTCCTAGAAATGGCCGCGGTTCAAGAAGCGCGCGGTGTTTTACGCCGGCAATTATCCGTCCCAATGGCGCCGGACGATGCATTATCGAGGTCTAACGAGTCGACGCCGCCAGCAGCCCGCGCCCGCGTGCAACTGCTCCATTATTGATACTAAGCGTTCCGATCGGAATCCTCCCGATCGATGAATATTAAACGAGCCCCTTGTTAACCCCGCCCGCAACGATTCCATTAAGCGACGCCAATAAATTGTCCACCGTTCACTCTAATAAGTCCGCCCCGGCATACTTTCATTTTAGTTGGAATCTCGTTAAAGTCTGCGCCGTCTGCCGCGGGAGAAGTGTCGCTAGGCGTCGGTGAACCTTCAGAGAGTATTGGTAACAAGGAAATATTTTATTGTGGTTTGCAAATGGATAGAGACTTTCTTGAGAAACTTGAGAAGACTTCGTTTGCATTGGATTGTTCTTTTGGGAATCGATGGGGGTGAACTTGAGTGAGCCTGTTTGGGGTGAATCTATGGTGAGATTAACGCTGGAACTAATGGGAAATGTTTCATCGGAGTTTATTCTGCAATTATGAGGATGATTTTGAGGAACATTGTTTGGAGGATTCTTGTGTTTAGAGGCAATGATACGGATGCGTCAGGTTTGAAGTGTTTTCGTTTGAAAGAGGTTATGAGTAGATTACTGTGAGTGTTTGGTTCTGTTGTTGACCACGGGCTTTTTGAGACTGTATGGGAGTTGTTGAATTCGTTGGCTCCATCGGTCCGTAGTTTATTGAATCCGTTCCCTTTGTTCGATTCCAGTATAACATAAAGAAACGAGAGGAAGTGCAGGAAGCGACCCAGGAGGAGCCTAATCCTCTGATGCGTAAGAAAAAGACGCCGGAGGAGCTGGCCGCGGAAGCTGAAGCGGAGGACGAGGACGAGATTACCAGTACGTATATTTGTTCAGCCATTAAGTCGATTCCTTATCGGCAATTAAGTAGTTGCCAGCCGAAGGTCTGATAATTTCACTCGGAAGTTTCATTATCTTCATTTGTACATTAAATATTCTATTATATTTTCGTTTGTCATTTTTGTTTTCATATTAGACACTTCCCTATTAATTTCATCCTGTTAACAGTCTTTAATAATTAAATTTATTTCATTCGTCTTGTTCGTCTTCTCGAGACCGGCTAATCGTGTAAACTAATGGACTAGTCCATTATCTCTATCCATACATCGAAATACCTTGTCATTATCCTCCGACAATTAGCGACAGATTAAGTTCAATATTATGGGCATCGCCCCTTTCACAATCGCAATGAAATCAACACAATTCCTGATAATTTAAATTCACCGCGCCATTATTTCCATTTGTAAATTGGTTATTATAGATACCAAACAAGATTGTTCGATAATTAAGCTGTTTTCATTTGACAAACTGATTGATTCGAGGAAAGCCGGGAAATTTGATATTATTAATTGTACAGAAAGTATCAATCAAGTGTCGGCAATGAAATTTCGAAAATTATACACGATGTACGTACTAGCAATGAGCGAAGAAAGGAAATAATCATAACTGATGGTTATTAACCCTTTGCACTTGGAAGTTTTTCGATAGAAATATTTTCACATTTTCTGATAAGACAAAGACGATATTTTGTAAAACTAACCCGAAATCACACGTACATTGAGGAACAAAGATATTTTATTTCAATATTTCTGAAATTTACACATTGTACGGAGTATAATATTAAATATCAAATTTTATGATAGTTTTATAATATTATAATAGTCACCTCTCGAGTGCAAAGGGTCAAAACAATTCGAATCTTCGCCGAACTGAGATTAGAATCAAAAGTAAAACTTATTATCACCAAGACAATTCGAATTTCGTTCGAATTTCGATTTATACACGGTGTTCCGAGCGGATTGGACAGCGGAAGCTGAGTTTATTGACAAATACCAGCTAGAATCCTGTTCCTCGAGGACAGGGGACACGGTTAGAGGACCGTGGAACGGGGTTAGGAGTGAAAGGCCGCAAATTCACGGCGCACCCTGAGAGAGTAGCTGTCTCTGACGAATTAATGCGGCGATGGCGGCACGGCGGTGATCGATGAAGGGTTAACGAGCCGAGGCTAGAAATCAAACATCGCTACCCCTTGGCTCGGTTTCCGGGCTGAAATTCGACTTGCGCCACGCTGCTTCCATTATTCAAAATAAATACGTTCCCCCGTTCCATTGGAAACTCTATTACTCTATTATTGTGTATTGGTTTTCGTGACTAATGTGTTCGTTTCAATTTGTTCCCGAATACGAAAATAGAAACTCTATTATTCTCGATAATCGAAATGATTGCTTTAGTTGGCTCACGAATATTGACATAAAAACGATAAATGCTACCCATCGTGTCTAGAATTGCAATGAGTGTTGGATATTGTCAATAAAAGCATCAAATAAAACTTAAGGTTCTGTATAATAAATAATTCTGCATGTTCGAAAGCTGTCAGCCGGAGTGTTTAAAAAAGAGAATAATGAAATTCTATTATAGTAACAATTTAATATATATTACTCAACATATTACTTATTTCCGGTACGATTTAATTATGAAAAATTGTGCATGACAGAAGCATTACATTTTTATTAAAGAAAACGTGTTCCAGTCTACGATTCACACAATTGGTTAATTAAAAGAATGTTAACTAAAGTAATGTAGCAATTGGGAACTGTTTTTCTTTAATCAAGCCACTTTTAACCCTAATAGTACCACGTGTTCTTACAACGAATCATACCACGATGTGACTCTCAGTCTTATGAGAATAAAAGGAATGATTAAAGTGCTATTATTTTTGTTTATAGGGTTTAAATTTTAAAAGCTCGAAAAAACTGTTGGAAATGCGAATAATTATTAAATTATTATTAGTAAAACTATAAAATTTGATATTGAATATTCAACTGTATATAATGCATCGGTGTGTGAAATATTGGAATAAAATCTTTGTTTATAAATTCACTTGCAATCTTTCTTTGAGTTAATTTAAAAAATACCGTCTGTGTCTAGTTAGAAAACGTTAAGTATTTCTAACGAAATACTTCCGAGTGCAAAGGGTTGACACGTTGACTGCCACGAGAATTTCGAGCATTTTATACTAAAATTTATCCCTTAATATTAAAGGCTAATAGTATTTGAAATAATTATCAATGTTTTGGTATTTACTATTATCTAGCTACTTGTGTTACTAAATATTTTAATTCAACGTCAATTTTCTTATTTTAATTGCCCAGTAAAAAGTTCAAACGCGACTCGAAGTCACACCGTGGTCCGATTAGGGTTGAAAGAGACGGTTCGCATGTTCAGTCTCGAAACAAATGTGAAAGCCCCCATCAATCTCTCTGTTCCAGAAATCAGGAACGCGTTAGACACGCATATACAAGACATCAAAGCGCAAGTACTGGAAGGTAAATGCGAACTCCAATAAGCCTACCTGCACCCCAGAAGCGGTCGGTGAGCGGCGGCGGTGGCACCGTGTGTCGCCGGGCCCGCGTCCGCATCCGCATCCGCCTCTCAGCCCCTACGACACCACGCGGAACGACGGAACAAGAACGAACCAGACCCGACCACGTGTCGAGAAAGCCGAGGAGAAAGGGAAACAACGATCAAACGACAACCGGGAATACGCCAGCGGCAACGACAACACCAGCGACAGCGGCAGCGCTTCCTTTGTCCCCGTCTTCGTCGTTGCTCGAGCAACGATCGATCCCAGATTCCGATTGACTCGTAGAAAACAAGGGAAACGAAACGCGGAAACTGGAAACACGCGGCGAGATACTCTCCGGTGTTCCTTCAGGATTCAATGTAACGATCTTCGAGGATCTTCGAAGATTTCGGACGGTTTTAGGGATGATATTAGAGAGGAATCTTTGAAGATGGTTTTAAGGAGAATTTTGGGGAGGTTTTGAATGGAAGGGATAGTTCGATGATTGTAGAGGATATAGGAGATTCTTTGAGAATGGACAGAGGAATTCTTGCCTATTCGAAGGCAGAGACTCGTTTGTTGGAATGGAAGATGAAATTGACAGAAGGTTTGGACTTCAAGGTTTGGTTGAAGGTGGATTTGGTAGACACCGGGAATTGTTGAATGGGAATGAGTAAGCTATGAGTTAAAAGGAAATAAGGGAGTGGATCGTTTACGAGTACAGTGGGAAAATCGAGGGGATTGTTCGATGAAAGTTCGAAGAATGGGAAAGAGAGAGTGAGGGTTGAGTAAAAGGAGGAAACCGGAAGTCATCGACGAAGACCGGACGAAGAGAGCTGCAAGACAGACGCTAGGACGAGGAATGATCGTTTGCGCCCTACGATTCGATGGACAAAGGGGAAACCATCAAGAAGCAGATCGACGAATAAACGAAGCGATGTTTTCGTTGATGGGTCGCGTCGAAAACGATCGCAGCAACGAATGGATCGAAGAGTTATGGATCGTAAGAAGACCGCGGCGCGGACGAGACACGTGAGCAGTCGAAGGGCGCGTGCATATAAATATAAC